CTATCTCCTCACCACGACAAAAACGGAACGACTTGTGTTAAGACAATTCCCAACAATTTGAGTATGTCGGCAGCTCCCCGTCACCCGGGCGCCCGCCGCACCACACACACCGGATTTAATTATCATATTTTTCCCTCCGTTTATTCGCACCCAAGGGCGGATCCAGCATAGGAGAGAGTGGGTCCATCGATAGGGAGATGGGGTGCGGTGGTAGGGGGGAGGTGGGGTACAGTGGCAGGGAGGGAGGGTACAGCGGCAGGGGGGAGGTGGGGTACAATGACAGGAAGGGAGGAAGGGTACAGTGGCAGGGAGAGAGGGAGGGTATAGTGACAGGCAGAGAGGGGGGTACAGTGGCAGGGGAGGAGGGAAGGTACAGTGGCAGGAAGGGAGGGAGGGTACAGTGGCAGGGAGGAGGTGGAGTACAGTGGTAGGGGAGGTGAGGTACAGTGGTAGGAGGAGGGGGGTACAGTGGTGGCAGGGAGGAAAGGAGGGAGGGAATGTACAGTGGCAGGGATGGAAGGCACGTGGGCAGGGGAGGGAAGGTACAGTGGCAGGGGGAGGAGGGTACAGTAGCAGGCACGAAGGGAGGGTACAGTGGCAGGGAGAGATGGTACAGTGGCAGGCAGGAGGGTACAGTGGCAGACAGGGAGGGGGTACAGTGGAAGGGAGGGAGGGTACAGTAGCAGGCAGGGAGGGGTACAGTGGCAGGGGAGGGGGCAGGGCAGGCAGGAGGGGTACAGTGGCAGGCAGGGGAGGAGGGTACAGTGGCAGGGAGGGAGGATACAGTAGGGGAGGGTGGGCATAGTGGCAGGCAGGGAGGGAAGGTATGGCAGGCAGGGAGGGAAGGTACAGTGGCAGGCAGGGAGGGAAGGTGGCAGGGAGGGAAGTGGCAGGGAGGGTGGGAGGGTACAGGGAGGGGTGGGAGGTACAGTGGTAGGGAGGGAAGGTATGGCAGGCAGGGGAGGGAAGGCAGGGGGAGGATGGCAGTGGCAGGGAGGGATGGTGGCAGGCAGGAGGGTATAGTGGCAGCAGGGAGGGAAGGTACAGTGGCAGGGAGGGTGGGAGGGTACAGGCAGGGGAGGAAAGGTACAGTGGCAGGGGAGGGATGGCAGGGCAGGCAGGGAGGGGGTAGGGTGGCAGGGGAGGGGTGGGAGGGTACAGTGGTAGGGAGGGAGGGTGGTGGGGGGATAGTGGCAGTACAGTGGCAGGGAAGGTGGCAGGCAGGGAGGGAAGGTATAGTGGCAGGCAGGGAGGAAGGCAGTGGCAGGAGGGAACAGTGGCAGGCAGGGAGGGAAGGTGGCAGGGAGGGTGGGAGGGTACAGTGGCAGGCAGGTGAGGGAGGGTATGGTACAGTGGCAGGCAGGAGGTATAGTGGCAGGCAGGAGGGAAGGTACAGTGGCAGGGAGGGTGGGAGGGTACAGTGGCAGGAGGAAAGGTACAGGGGGAGGGATGGTACAGTGGCAGGCAGGAGGGTATAGTGGCAGGCAGGGGAGGGAAGGTACAGGTGGTGGGAGGTGGTAGGGAGGGAGGGGTACAGTGGTAGGGAGGGAGGGTATAGTGGCAGGCAGGGAGGAAGGCAGTGGCAGGCAGGGAGGAGGTACAGTGGCAGGAGGGTGGGACAGTGGTGTGGGAGGGTACAGTGGCAGGGAGGGTGGGAGGGCAGTGGCAGGGAGGAGGATACAGTGGTAGGGAGGGAGGTGCAGTGGCAGGCAGAGGGAAGGTACAGTGGCAGGTGGCAGGTACAGTGGTAGGGAGGGAGGGAGGGTACAGTGGTAGAGAGGGAGGGTACAGTGGTAGGGAGGGAGGGTACAGTGGCAGGCAGGGAGGGAAGGTACAGTGGCAGGGAGGGTACAGTGGCAGGGAGTGGACGTCATATGTCTTCTGTTCTTATCGTCGACAGTACCTCGTGCATGTGTGTGGGCGATACATCTTCGCCCCCACACAAGCACAAGGAACATAAAATAGTGTTAATTGATTGGTAATGTAAATTCAAAACCCTCCCTAATCTGTTGGGTGAATATTTCTCTTATATAATCTGTCACTCGTATATGCCAGCCTCTCAGCCAATCAACACGCTTGTTATTGCATACACAAACAAACCTCCTCCAATCAAAACCCTCATTATATTAATAACAACAGCCTCTCTTATCAAACAACACGCTCCTAGTAAAGAACTTTTAGACGAAAGGAAAACAAAAAAGCAATCAACCAATCACAACACAAAGGTGAGGAGCTAACTTGAGCCTCTCAACCAATCACCTTGAAGTACGTGACGCGGGCCAGAGACAGTCGCAGCCACTCACCGACGGCAGTAAACACCTGACAGGTATCATCGGCTGGAGGAGGTACGCCATTATCTCCAAGAGCAAGGAGACGCTGTGGGCCTCCAAGTGGGTGTCCTCCACAACGTAGCCTCTCCTCTCCCGCCTCCATCGTACTAACTCTTCCTCTCCCACCTCCACCCTGTTCTGTCCTCTCCTCTCCCACCTCCACCCTTTTCTGCTCCTATTCCACCTTCACACTGTTCTGCCATCTCCTCTTCCACCTCCACCCTGTTCTGTTCTCTCCCACCTCCACTGTCCTCTTCCGTCTCCACCCTGTTCTGTCTTCTCCTCTTCCACCTCCACCCTGTTCTGGCATCTCCTCTTCCACCTCCACCCTGTTCTGTTCTCTCCCACCTCCACTGTCCTCTTCCGTCTCCACCCTGTTCTGTCTTCTCCTCTTCCACCTCCACCCTGTTCTGGCATCTCCTCTTCCACCTCCACCCCTGTTCTGTTCTCTCCACCTCCACTGTCCTCTTCCACCTCCACCCTATTCTGTCCTCTCTTCTCCCACCTCCACCCTGTTCTACCCCCGTCCCACCTCCACCCTGTTCTGCCCCTCCCACCTCCACCCTGTTCTGCCCCGTCCCATCTCCACCCTGTTCTGCCCCCGTCCCACCTCCACCCTGTTCTGCCCCGTCCCACCTCCACCCCTGTTCTGCCCCGTCCCACCTCCACCCTGTTCTGCCCCCCGTCCCACCTCCACCCTGTTCTGCCCCCTGTCCCATCTCCACCCTGTTCTACCCCCGTCCTACCTCTCCCCAGGGCGACTAGGGAGGCCGCCGCTCCCAACAAACGTTTTTGTGAGTAATGTTACACTGAGATGGAGTATTAAGTTTACCTCAACACGCGTCTCCTCTGAACACACACACACACACACACACACACACACACACAGTATCTCTCTCTCTCTCTCTCTCTCTCTCTCTCTCTCCCAGACACAAGCGAGCACAAGCACAGCTACATGCAAGCACGTATGCATGTGTACCCGTCGCCCTTTACTATCACAAGCAAACATGCAAATACAGACGCTCCTGTACTCCCCCCCACACACACACACACACGGTTGTATGTAAACATATGCTGTACATGCAATTTACTCGTTTCTACACACACACAAACACACACACACACACACACACACACACACACACACACACACACACACACAGCGTCAGTGCGTGAAGCGCTTTATAACTGGTGATTGTGTTGAGTTTTGTGCTGTCAGATGGTGGGTTTTTGTCCTGGTGGGGCTAAATATAGATGGCTGGGACGACCCGCCATAATGATAATACTGGTGTTGAATAGATATAGATAGATAGATAGATAGATAGATAGACAGATAGATAGATTTTCTTCCATTAACACCTCAAAACACTCAAAGGTAACTCCTCCCAAATAAACGTTAATTAACCTCCAAAACAAACTCGGGTTAATTTCCAAAACAAACCCGGGTTAAACTCCAAAACAAACCCAAGCGCTATTTAACTTCTCCAACTAGCACGGGTCGGGCCAAGTAAACCAGGCAGTACCTCGGGGGAGTCAGGCAGGTCCTTCTCGAGCCTGGCTGGGAGTGTCAGTAACGAGAGGTTGAAGCCCTCTCCCAGCTGAGTCAGCCTTGGTAACACTGGTGACTCACCCTTCAGTTGGCAACCCTGATGAGTCATACTCAGCGAGATTAACCAGTGATAATTTTTTTCCCATACCTCTTTTCATTCATTCGTCCGTCCGTCCGTCTATCCGTCCGTTCGCATGTCCATCCGTCAGCCAAAATGCTGAATTCCGATGCGATATTTTTACAACTTAAATTAAATGTCGTCAAATAATTCCAAAATCCAGTCTTTTTTTTTTTTAATCTTGGTTTATTTTCGACATTTTAAGAGCAATAATAATGGGTGACCTTCAGCCGTGACCTTGAACTTAACACACACACACACACAACTTGAAGCTGGCGTTGTGTATACATGGTCAAGTGATAATATCGACAGACAGGACACCGAAACAGACAAAGACAGACACTGCCATCCCATACTGTGTCCGGTTTTCAACAAAGTACAAAATCTGACAGCGGTATACACGATGCATACATACATACATACATACATAACAACTACCCTCTGTATACATAAAAATAAGGGACTAAAATACAGTAGTGATAAATATACATAGTGTGACATACCTGAACGTATACACAATAATAATAACCATACACCATACTGTACATCATACTTAAGTTAATACATAACACCAATAAATTTACACTCGCACAAATACACAAAATTTTCCCATACACAAAAAAAAATATTACACTTACCTTTAAAATCAGAAGATGTAAACACACAACAGATATACAAAAAAAAAAACAACCACAACAATAAACAAAAACAACGCCATTAAGGTTAAACACAAATAAACTAGACGAAACGCTCACCCAGCACCACCACCACCACCTACAAGTGCCTTCAGTCATAACACAAGCAATTAAAATCAACAAGCATCTAGGAGGAGGAAGAAGAAGAAGAAGAAGACAAGAGGTTATCTAAAGCTCACTAGACGTCTGGAGGTAAGGGTTTCAATCTTACAACTCCTAGACAAACAAGTAATCAGATCTCAAAGCACCTCCTCCATTAGCAAAGAAAATAACTCATTCTGAAGTATAAATGTTACGTCAATACTTACGTTGGTCTCCTCTCTTCCGTGTGGGTACTGTAAGGAAGGAAGGAAGACATGTATACGTTTTTAGTTTATGATATTATACTGTAAATAAGACCAATAATGACACTATGACACACAACATGACGAAAGAAATTGTAGATTGAAATTGACAGTGACATTTAACACAGATATTGAACTGGCAAATGATACTAAACCTGAATTGGAAAATGACATTGAAATTGAATTGGAAAATGACATAAGTGGATTGGAAAAATGACACTGAAATTGGATTAAAATAGACAATAATAATAATAATCCGTGTAACCTAATATTAAATTTGACAATATAAACAAAATGAGACAACATAGCCAAACACGTTGAACCAAAAGCTAGATTTTTTTTATTATTATTATCGAATATTAATATATAACACTACCTTCAATGTTACGCTCGATAAGGGATATACCACAAACTACAAGTGAAAGTAATATTTACGCTCTACAGGTATTTTCAACAATGCCATCATCTATCGTGTAGTTGAGAGACGACCTTGATTTATCAGACAGACACTATCTCCCCTTCAGCCGAGAAAGCGAGCCGTCAATTATTTCCGGTGAAGCATATAATTATCTGCTTTGATTATATTTCTGTTACAAAAAGGAGCTGAAGTATTTTTAAATATTTTCTTTGTGAACATAACCACATGTGTAAGAGACAGTAATTTTTTTACAGCATACATTCGCCAGTTGGATAACACATACGCCTGGCAGCCCTTGGAGAACTATGTTGTTTACATGGTGAAACACGTGAGGAATGAGAAACGTCGGCGGGGCGCAGCCGCAGACGAGTTACGTAACCCACACTGATCGTCCACGCGACAACAACTGTGGCCACACTGCTTGAACGCCCAGGCAAAATATTATGAGATGACGCGCCAAAATATTGACATTCGATACAGCGATACAGACGTACATGATGATCTGATATGGCTTGAGGTTGAAATGTTTTGACGTGAAAGATCTTCACCACGTTAACGCTGCGAACGGCTTGCACACGGCTTTAAATACGTCGGAACTTGTACAACTACGTCAGCACTCTCGTCTACACATTAACTTTGGGATGGCACTACATTTGATCCCAAGTCGAATAATAGCGCCGGGTATTGTCATCACTCATTACAAGACCGAATTATAACCGCAAACACAACCACCATTTCTAAGTTTGTGTTCCATTGTACAGTACAGTGTATACTTTTTAAAAGCCTGGAGGGCAGGTAGATCAGACCTGTGATGATGTCAACACGTAGCTACACTACTTGATGACGCCAAACAAGAATGTTAGCACCTCGTAATCTGAAGTACACGGGTTGAGTGTTTACATTGTTGATATTAGTAGTGAAGGTGACCTGGCCGCTGTTGTTATGCTGCCTCCTGAAACTAATTAGTGCTAACCTGTATATTATATTTGGGTATACTGTACATAAGGTATTGGCACAGTTACTTTTATATTAGTAACATGACAAAGAGTATTCTTATAGCAGTTTACCGTGCCGTCCTTTCAAAGTCAAGAAGCGACCCCGTATTAAAGCACACGAGCATTGTGTGGTTTATGGATTTTAAGTTTACAACTCTACTGGATGTTTGTCTTCACAGTTCTATGAAGAAGTTACAAACCCACAATATTTGAAGAAATTTCTACATAACCGTATTTCTTAGTATTCCTTGAGCAAGAAAAAATAAATAAAATTACGGGCGTGTGTATGCGTTCATCAAAATTCCACCTGAGAGTCTTAAGTCACGGATGAACGTGGTGACGAATACCGGACAGATATGTGTGCAATAATGACGGTCTACATACCGATGTTTACATATTGCAATTTCGTCAAAGAAACTTGCAACCATAAACAACAAGGGATTCTGTGTACATCCTGTTGGTCGAAATAATCACTCCAATACATAACGAACTGACGACTTGTACCTATACGTTAAATGCGTACCAACAGATGGCGGTAATTCCTATTAAACTCCGGCAAACATTATGATAGCCTGACCCCTCCTTACACAGTATCAACCATAATCAAACATACTATCTAGAATATTTACGAGCTCTCAAGTGCTACAGACCAATGTTTCCCCCGACACTAATACGCAATACTTGCGCTTCACCACCTTAACAACAACAAACGGATAATATTTTCCTTGACTTTACGACATGTTGAACCGCCGGCCAAAGATTCTATTTCGTGTCTGTCAACTTGTTAAAGAGATCACTTGAGATACTAACTTAATTACCTTTAATGCAAACAATGTGAAAAAACAATAATATTCAAGACGAAAATTACACAAAGAGACTACTCACAAAATATTCTAAATACTTATTACATAAATTCTAACTACATTATATACACCAAGTTTAGAGAATGATCACCTGAAAAATATGCACCCCAGCTTATTTCACTGTTAGGTTAGGTTAGGGTGGGTAATCTTTAGGTAAAATAAGCTGGGGTGCAGATTGTTTAGGTAATCCCCCAAAATAATAATATTTAATAAGTAAACCTAGAAATTATTCCACTGTACAATGTTTACATACAGAAGCAGACCATCCACTCGGCTTCGGAGAGAATGCTGTTGTTGTCAGTATCACACAAGCGCGGGAACTTTTTGGCGCACTTTTTGGGTTTAATGAACTTCCTGACGGGTTTCTTGAAGCCTCGATACTCCCGCCGCTTCAGCTGCTTATCGTCGTCGGTGTCCAGACGATTAAACTTCCACTTCACCGCCTTCCTTAACAGCTTCTCCTCAGACACTGTTCATGAGCGAGATTGTTTTGTAGAAGCGTCAAGATTGAGAGAGCAACAGAAAAAAAAATGTACTGAAGATGAAGTAAAAATCACCTGATAACTATGCACCTCAACTTATTTCACCTAAAGATTAACTACCCTAACCTCAGACCCCCCCCAAATACTGTTAGGGTGATTTAACTTTAGGTGAAATAAGGAAATAAGCTAGGGTACAGAATCTTCAGGCCATCCGTAGTAACTCGACATTAAAACTCTGTGATTTTCATTATCATTTTTTTATCCTTAATTGTTTTTTGTTTTTTCTGAAATACCACAAGTCCATTTAACATTCAATCTCCAGCAATTATTATTATTATTATTATTATTATTATTATTATTATTATTATTTGCAAGATTAGAGCCTATATTAATAACCCTTAACACAGCTTACATTAAAAGACATTAACATATAATATTTTAATAAAGCAATTTCATCTGAAGGCAGCTCAAATTATGGGCCACCTGTAAACCATCTGAACCACCTGTGACTCGTCTAAACCACCTATGACCCGTCTAAACCACCTGTGACCCGTCTAAACCACCTGTGACCCGTCTGAACCACCTGTGACCCGTCTGAACCACCTACAACCCACCAGAACCACCTAAAACCCGTCTGAACCACCTACAACCCGTGTGAACCACCTACAACCCGTGTGAACCACCTGTCAACCCCTGACAAACCATCTGGTACTCACTTCGCTTGGCATTCCTTTCCCTCTTGAACTCCTTTACCAGGTGGTGACTCATGTTGTCGATGAAGGTCTTTCTGGTTCTCCCGCTGCACCGCTCTAGGGGGCAGGGGGAGAGCTGCCGTTACTAAGGGGCCGACAGATAAGGGGCAAAGGGGGGTGTAGGAGTATGGAGGTGTGTGCGTGGTAATGGTGTGAGTGGTAATGGTGTGTGAGTGGTAATGGTGTGAGAGGTAATGGTGTGTGAGTGGTAATGGTGTGTGAGTGGTAATGGTGTGAGAGGTAATGGTGTGTGAGTGGTAATAGTGTGTGAGGGGTAATGGTGTGCGAGTGGCAAGGGGTGTGAGTGGTAATGGTGTGTGAGTGGTAATGGTGTGTGAGGGGTAATGGTGTGTGAGTGGCAAGGGGTGTGTAAGGCATGAACTTGTGTAGACCTTGTGTGTGTGTGTTTTCACAAAAAAATCACATGAAATAAAACAATAATAATATTCTTCGTTTATGTCAAATTATAACCTATTTTCCTTTATATATATATATATATATATATATATATATATATATATATATATATATATATATATATATATATATATATATATTCATGTAAATCCAATGAAAACGTGGATAAGATAAATCTTGATAAAATCACACGGGAAAATGGAAACAACGAGTGCTCCGTTGTTTCCATTTTTATTTATATATATATATATATATATATATATATATATATATATATATATATATATATATATATATATATATATATATATATATATATAATACTAATTCAAGTTAACTTTAAACTAATATCAAAGGAATTCTAAATGCTTATATTTTCATCAACATTATTAATTACTACAAACATCAAAATGAAGACAATGTTTACAGTGAACAGTGATATATTCTTGCATGTGTCAACACCGGTAAACATAGAACATCTACAACCATGCCTATGACGTCATCAGACAACGGTGTAAGTACTGTACCTTACCTGTACGAGAGAGGAATCTGTAGGAGCAATGACACTCGAGAGTTAGTTGTATGAACTCCACAAGCATTATTACAGAAACAAGCTTAGTGCACCTCTCAATTAAGCCCCAACTCAGCAACACTGTGCATACTTTGAAATCACCAGCAGTCACCAATCACAGACGATAACTGTGCGGGCCTCGTCGTCACCACTTGGTCCACTCACTCGTAAATATCAAGGTTACATGATGTTCACTTTTAATGGGACAAACTTGTTTTAAAATTGCACGCTTCTGGATATTGTGATGACAGTAATGAAGGCACCAACGTCTACTGTTTTACCGCAAGTCTCTGAGGACCAGGAGCGGCGGCCAACCGTTCAAGGTCAGATGCAAAAATGTTGGGCCGAGTGATGAAGACACTAAGGAATTCGTCTTAAATACAGTTCCTCTGTATAAGATATAATATTTTAAAGTATTTTTAATAGAGTTATGTGTTAAGTCGTGGTCTACTGGCCTCGTGTAGAAAAAACTAGCCAAAATTATATTAAACTCACTTGTGTAATACTATTTTTTCCTTGCCAAATTCTCTATCTGTGTAAACATGAGGTCTAGACACACACACACACCAGGGCCAGTTATCTATCCCTTGAGAGGCAAAGAGGCCGCTGCGGCTACCGAGAGAATGTAGTGGAATGAGTGAGGTGCAGACGAGGCCCCATGTATGGTGAAGGGGACAGTGTTGCTGGCTGGGGCACCACAACACCCCCGCCGTCTAGACTCGGGCGTCGCGGCGTCTTGCCCAGCCTCGTATCGTAAAGTTGAAGGAGCTGGGCGGAGATTCTCAAAGATATGTACTGTACGTTAATTCTTGCTTTCATCCCGTAACTGGTGAGGTGAGGACGCATGTATGAGACCAGCTAAACCGACTCGTATAATAGTCAAACTAACACCAAAACTACATAGTGACTTGTGCCACAAGATGCGACCTCTCATCTCTAATTCCGGGGAAAAATTAACGCACAAACTTTTGAGAATCCAATCCAAGACTTAAAACTACCGCCAGTATTTCATAACAGCCTGTTGTTTGGGCGTCAGTTTTGATCAACACTTTCTAGCTGAAGAACGAATCAAATGGTTAACCTTTAATAAACTTTCTGAGGACATTTTTCAGTTGGTGTTGTGAGGTTCAGCTTTAATGTTGAAAACTGGCGGTAGTGAGCGGCTAGACCCTTGAACTTTACACAATACGGCGACGCTCCTCGACCAGATGGCTGACGGGGCAGGAACTGCTCCACCTCAACACGTCCAAGTATACCAAAATCTTCATTCATCATCATTATCCATCACAGATTATCCTAACTACAAACAGAATATTTGGAGCATTGATCTCTACGGCAACAATGTATACCTGAGGCATTAATCACCTTCACACATTCCAATAAATATGAAAAAATAGAAGCCTATAACTGGAATTTGTCCTGAATGTTCCAGTAATGTTTTCACATTTATTGGAAGATGTGTAACTTATGAAAATATGGAGGCAGCAACGAACTATCTAATTTATCTTTCTCTTTGCAGTTAGGTCAATCTATGAACACAAAAGACTTCATTACCATAAAAAACATATAAATTTAAAATAAACTTTCTTAAAAAAAATTATGTATTCATGTTTTAGAAATAAATAAACTGGCTGGTTTAGACTCGATATAAAGTTCTAATAAACAAAACACGACCTGACTTTAGGAGTCGCTGACTTAAAAGTAATTCCTGTGGACGTGTGGTGGAGCAATTTCTTTCAGGTGTTTAAGACTCCCGTGCCACTGTAGAGAAGCAGCGGAGATTCCAACCAGTGCGCAGCAAGCCACACGCTGCCCTGCTGTGCCCAAGTGGGAAGCCAATGGGTGGATGACGCTCAACAGTAATCATGTTTAAGACTGGCGGGAAAGGGGAAACATGTTTTGTGATTGGTTATCCTTATTGTGGGCGGGGACTATTACGAGTGTCTTCCCCTCCGCCACCACCACTGATTGGCTGATCTTCGGTGAGTAGCCTACGCTCAACAAATCGTGTTTTGGGGGGGGGTTATTTTTTTGTTCTCTCTTTTTGTTACTCTACCCTCTGCTGCCACACTTAATAATGATTACTGAGTGATTAATTTGAATGCAGCAAGACAGTCAAGCTAGACGGTGGAAAGTGAAAGCTTTAGAAGACGACCACTGGCGGTCATGATACTCCCCCACTACCAAGGTTTTCAAGAGGTCCATGACCCCCTCACCTAATGACAACAACTTCAACACCCCTGAGTCTAAATTCTTAAAGGCTCTTGCGTTCAATTCCTCCCTCCCCCTTATCTGAGGAGACTTGAGCATCCACCTAATTCTCTTACTATTTAAGATAACTGGGAAAACAAAATGGCATCGAAATTGTATCGAGAGACTACAATAACGTCAGGCTCCCTCTCGCCTTTATAGTCAGGGTCCCTCTCGTGGCTACACTCAGGCTCCCTCTCGTCTCGACTCTACATTCAAGGGTTCGAAACTCGACGTCCGAAGCTTTGAGAAATTAAGAAACCAGACTCTTGACCCTGTTTATGGATTTTAACATTAATTCCCTAAATTATTAGTTCATAATCATCATTGAACTCGGAACTGTGTCAAATATGGCAGGTTAGTGTTGATGAAGAGTAGTAATGTTCCTTCACAATCATTGATCGGACGAGAATCTATAGATGTTTACCTTCGTTACTTCCCATCCCACTAATGACACCACCCTATAACAAAGTAAAGCTGACATCAAGCCACCCCAATCAATCAATCTCGACTAATATACAACATATACAAGACATGAACATAGAAAATCGAAGAGAAACGCAAACTCAACACCAGTCGAGGCCGCCATATTGAGAGAAAAATTCCTAATAAATTCTGGCAAAAATATCGTCTCGAATTATTTTGGATGTCGCGACGTATTGAAAAATAAATTCTACCAAAGGACAAAACTTTACAAGAATCAAGACTCATTTTCAAGGACAAGTGACAGCGAGTGTATTTACCGAGATCTGTGGCAATAATAGACAAAGGAACCCCCACTGGAAAATAATTATCTTAATGACTTTCTCGACTTATTCTTAATTGCCTTACTGTTTACCATTGTTTACACACCTGCACTACCTATGCACGTACATTGTTTACACACCTGCACTCTCTATGTCATACACTAGCCGGTAAAAATTTGTACCACCATTTCACAAAACAACTAAAATGCCACAACGGGGAAAAGTGCCACTAGGAAGTACCAGTTATAGAGGAAGGAAGGAAGGAAGGAAGGAAGGAAGGAAGGGAGGGAGGGAAGGAAGGAAGGGAGGGAGGGAGGGAGGGAGGGAGGGAGGGAGGGAGAAAGAGAGGAAGGAAGGAAGGTTTTTCGAAGGCCTAGGACCAGCATGGAAAGAGTACTGCAGTAACCGAAACACGTATCCTGGCCCAGAGAATTAGAATTAGGAGAAAAGACGAATTGGGATAAGGAAGAGACAAAGGGAAGGAAAGAGACATGAAAGAATGAAATGCTAAGAAGAAAAAGAAAACTAAGTACGAAATAAGGAAGAGATGTGAAAAACGATAACACTAGAAGGAATCATGAGAAAAATGGGAGAGAATGAAGAAGGAAAAAATCAAAGAAAAGATAAAAAAAACCATATACAGTAAACTAGAATAAATAGAGGAATAAGCAAAGACCAATAGCCAGGAAATTCACAAGATGAAGACAATACAGATGAGAAAAAGAGAAAATAAAAAAATAAATAAATGAGATAGGAAGCAGACTAGACAAGACCAAGAAAATTAACCAAAAATTTTAAAACAAGGCCTAAATATTTTAATGCCACAAATATTATAATATAAAAGTAACAGAAAATTTAAAGATATAATGCAGTTCCTCATTCACTTATATATTATCTATTTACATATGTATACATCTATGTACAAATAAACAAACACACACACACACACACAAGTCGACCACGTGAAATAACCACTCCAAATACCTACAACTTGAGGTCACCTTTGTTTGCATAAATATAAGGTTACAAATTATTTAAACTTTTTTTTTTCAAGGCCCCAGGCTCTCATTAAC